TTATCCAATAAAGACAATTGTTTCTTTGGGGATGAATGAATAAATTGAAATATTAATCGAATGTTTTTGATGAATCATACGAATTAGCGTGAAATCTTAATGTCTATATTTCCAATCAGATAAAAATGTCAAGTCTGACACGTCAATTAATTTCCACCGTCATTATTGCCTCCTCCTGCCTCTAACGTTGTCGTCGTATTAGTTGTAGTAGTATCGGTAGTACGTCCTTCCTGCGCACTTCCAGTTTGATGTGTTATTGTTGGGTTATCTTCGGACGAACTAGGAAATTGTGAATGTGAAGGAGGCTGTGGCGGAAGTTGATTATATTGATGCGATTGATTAACAGATGAATGGTAATGATTCCCTTCCTTTTCACTTCTTACTATTGAACCCGTCACATCACCACCAGAAAATAAACGTGCTATTCGATCTAATGGACTAAGTGCATCAGCGGGATTCCCAGGAACCTGAGGTTGAGGTAATGTGCTAGGTCTTCCAGTTGCCGGATTACTATTCATCATTCCGCTGGAACTAGCGTATCCGGATGGTAATGTTGGTGATACGGGAACGGAGACAGGTGGGACTCGAGGAGCTGTGACGTCTGGTGGGGGAACAGGTAATGCGAGAGGCACTCCAGATCCACCAGCATCTTCATCATCATCATCATTATAGTACGGGGAAGACTGTTGCTGACCTTCGGAACCCATGTGCCCACGATTAGACGACATATATCGTATTGGTGGTGTTCGAGCAGTTTGTTGATCGAATCCTAATGACGATGCAAATGTCCAAACTTCAGCCTCCTCTTCTTCAGGAATATTCTTGCTACTATATTGTGATAATCGAGTACTGGTACCGATACCAGTGCCATTGTCACCTGAAGATAAACGGGATTTGTCATTGTTATTGAAAAGTGTGGGAGCGTTTAATATTATGTCTTTGTTTGCCACTCTGGCAGTTGCAGGAGTCGGAATAAGTACATCGGTCGGAGTATGTAAATCGGGAATTGGCGCCTCGCGTCTTGCATCTCCACTAGTACGACCAGTCATTATATCGATATTAGGATCATCGGTTGAATAATAACTCACATCGCGCGCTCTATCATCCTCATCATCATCAATAGTCATTTTGCTATTCCGTGCGATGACACGTGTACTTCTACGACGACGCCTAGCAATTGCACTCTCGAATTTTCCACTTTTATCGCTGAAACAACGTCTATATATAATGATCACCGCGGCAATACCCACCAAAATGAACAACAATCCACCAATTATTCCAGCCACTATAGCAACTACGAAATTTGTCTTGCTGTCATTCTTGTTACTGCTGTCACTGCTGCTGCTGCTGCCACTACTCCCGCTCCCGCTGCCATCTGAAGTGCCCGAGTTGAACGGATTAATGTCACCTTTGGGAGTGTAAACTGTCCAGTTCAAGGTATTGAGATCTAGCATGTGAACATTTGGATCGTTTTGGCCAATGGCAATGCCTCCGAATATGATCATAGTATTATTATAGAGTACTGCACTGTGACCTTTAATAAATAATTACAGATTATGTAAGAATAGAATAAAAAAGGATGGAATAAAATTCAATAAAAAAAGGTGCACTATTAATATACCCATTCTAGCGCCAATGACTTTATTTGTGGTTTTTACTGTTGACCAAGTGAAATCTGATGGTGAATTTGCCTTTAACTGCCAAACTGAATCATCAGAAGGAGCGGAAACACCACCACCATACATTATCATTGTACTTCCCAGGCAAACGGCAGAATGACCTTTACGTGGTGTCGGGCTATTTGCGACGTTTGGATTAAGATTCCAATTTTGTGAAATCAGATCAAATATATACACTCCATTCACGGGACCTTGAGCACCGCTTTGTCCACCAAAATATACGATTATATTGTAATCTGACATATAACAAGCAGAATGATAAATTAAAGTGGGTCCATTTAGTAGCTGTTTCCATTGCACTGTACTTTGAATCTAATAATAATAATAATCATCATCAAAGATTAATTGTCAATTTGGTAATATTATTATCTTTTATTCTAAAAGAAAAAATATATATACCAATTGCCATAAAAGATTAGTAGCACTGCCAAGACTCTTATTGTCCACATATCCACTATATCCACCAACCCTATACGCTGAATCATTCACAGATGTGAAAGTCATACCTATACCAATATCCGGAGGATTGTCTATATGGAGAAAAATCCACAGACCATGGAATCAAT